TACTTGAAGACTGATTTTATATATATATATATATATATATATATACATATACACACACAGTTTGAAAAGTACTTTATCTAAAACTTCACATTATTTTTACAAAATTTTCATTTTTAGATGAACCATTCCTAGAAAACACTAACCGTTAAGGGCAGGTCCCGGTGGACTGGGCAATACGGCGGCGACGGCTGTGTTAAATCACTCCGTTAGATGAGTTGGCGGTAAACAACATCTGCGCGTTAGCAGGCGGCTCATTCTGCTGCGGCCTTTCGCAGAGAGCTATTTCTACAGCATCTGCCAGCTCTTACCTTTAACTTCACCCTCCGACCCTCCACAAAGCTCCCAGAATGCATTTCTGAGTCGCACCTGGAGTGTTTCGAAAATCGCATTATGAAGTGTGGAGTTTTATTGTTTAATTTCAGCTTGAGCGTCCCTGGAGAGAACTTCACATCATGATTAGAAAACAACTCTAGAAATGTGCACATGTAACAGGAACGTAGACCGTGGCGTGTGTGTGGAATATCTCAGGCGGCCCAGTCCTCCGATCTCATTTACTAATGTCACTCCTGACTACACTGTGTGCAACTCAGACAATTAGGCTGCTTGGATATTGAACCGTGAAGAAGACTTGTGTTTGTGGTTGCTGTGTGCACACATGCAGGCTCTGTGGCTTGAGCGTAACAGTTTATACACATTAAAGCTGATGCTGGAAATACATTGATTTCAATGAGGATGGTGCATTGCAAGGGCTTGTGAAAGTGATGTTGTCTCATGCAAACAAAAGTTGGTCTTGTTTCCTCCAAACAAACCAATATAGTTTGTGAATAAGCCACACATTTTTAGTTTGATAACTAAATTAGTGATTTTAGTCGCACTAAAGTTGGTGTTTTCTTATAGCATGAGCCTGCTAATAGCTCACTTCAGCTATTAGGTGCAAAAGGCTGTGCTAATGCTGTGTTTTCAGTATAATCACAGCAGAAGGGCATTATTAGGCACAAAGTACAGCGGACGATTTATTGCTTTTAGATAAGAAGTTACTGCACTAAAAAATAATAAAACAATATTTTAAAAAATATATTTAAAATAAAATAAAATATTATTTTTAAATTAAATATATTTTGCATTTTTAATTACATTACTATTTTTTAATTTTAGTTTTTTGAATTTCATAGTTTTGTTTCTTTTTTCATTTAAATTGTACGTGTGTATCTATCTATCTATCTATCTATCTATCTTTAATTATATTATTTTTAATGTTAGTTATATTTTTATTTTATTTTTGATTTAAATAAAAAAGTATATATTTATTTTTAATTGTGTGTATATACTGTATATATAGAGAGAAACAAATTTAAATATAATTAACCATTTTTATACAAATAATATTTTTAAAATAATAAAAAATGTAAAATAATTTAATATTATTAAAATTTAAAATGTAATTACATTTTTTTATTTTATTTTAATTTAGTAAGTTTTTTTCAATTAAATGTTTTTACATAAAAAAAAAATGATATTTTACATTAAATTTATTAAGTGTTAGCCTTCCTATAGAAGATAAAAATACATATCTTGATGTTTCTATCATTAACCTACAAATATATTAAGCTAAATATTTCCACATATCACTTTTATTTTACCAGTGTCTACAGTGTGTGTCCATCAGACAGAGTGTTTTCTGCGTGTGTAAGCACACACACACAGCAGAAGAAGAAGTACTTCCTTCCTCTCTGAGTAATTCATAATGCTTCACTCAGGAGAAATGTGAGTTACGTCAGCCAGGAGTTTTATGGTCAGACCTTTCTAATCTGTAGTAACCTACATTATGCCACCGGTGCTGAAAAAAAGCTTAACATGCTGAACCCGGAACATTCCTTTGAATAATGCTTCAGCAGTCACACAGGCTGTGATTTGTTTCAGCTGCATTAACGTGCATTTGTTTCTTTGTGTTTGTGTCTCCAGGCGTCTGGTTGTGACAGCACAGAGATCCCAGATGAGGTGAAGTTGATTGGCTTCGCCCAGTTGAGCGTCACCTGATAGCATCTCATTACCAGAGCAGAAGGACGGGGAGAGTGAACGCTGCAGGAGACGCCGCTACCGCATTCAAGACCTCTGCTGCAAAACTCCCACCTCCTGCTCCCATTCAGGTTTTCCTTCTCCTCCCGAATCACCTGCCCTCTGCACCTGTTCAATCAAACGCAGCACTCTCACACTTTTGCCCTTGCTCCCAGACACTGTATGCCCTTCACCAAAACATTCCAGCAGCCATTTCCCAGAATTCAAAGTAGGAGCCATCATCTCAGGAGGCAATAGCTAGTGAAACAAAAAGTTTTTTAAATTTTTTTTTATTATTATTATAATTATGATTGTTATTGTGTTACCTCATAGCTCTTACCGTATTATGATTATTACTGAAAAAAAAGCCTTTTATTTCATGTAAGTGTAGCGCAGATCGTAGACCACAAAACTGAAGTGGAGAGTGGAGACGTCTCCCTTTGAATGTAAAAAGCACATTTTCATTCTGAATGTTAACACATTCAAACTGTATTGTACATAGAATACATGATGTCTAAAATAAGGGAATATTTAGTTGTTTTAATTCCAGCTCAAAGAGTATAAGAGCAGAGAACCGAATGCTGCCATGTGCAAACATGCTGCTTTCTTTTTTCGGGACAGTGTTGATGCTTCGACGCTAGAGGTGCCTTGTTAATTTTAATCCGTGCCTAAGAGACGTAGGTTACAGGCTTGAAGCTGTTCGGCTGACACCGAACAGGAAGAACGCTGCTCGTCAGCAGATTCGCTCATAGTATTCTCACCGGTCAGTGGCTCGTGTTGGTTACCAGCTGATGCACTTTGATTTCATGCGGTGCGACGTACGTGCACCTGCGACGCTTACACCCTAACTATCCATGTTTAACCCGTTAAAGCTGACAAACAAGGTCATCGCTACCACAACGCACACCTTAATCCTGATATATCATATTCACCAGACGGCCGATGGTTACGCGTCATTTTTACAGCACTCGAATGTGTTTGTTTTTGAGCCCAGAATGCATCTGTCTATCAGTGAACAAGAAGTATTTTGTAAAGGAAACCAAATGTCTACTACTGAATGACAGAAAAGCCATCTGTGTGTCCAAAACCAGTATAGTATAATAGTATAGTACTTGAATTAAATGATTCTGTTCTCAGCCCAAATGTAAATAAATATTAAATAATTTATTATTATGATTAAGTTGAATTGTGTTTTCTATATACCATGCGTGTTCCCTCCCTACTATTCAGCCCTTCTGTAATCATCAGAGAATATCAACTTTCTGCGAAGGTACAACAAATAAAACAGAATTGCTACTATTAAACTGGAGCATGGCTGTGTTTTGGAAGAAAAGGGACTCTAACCGTATAATGTGATTATGATATTATCTTTTGCCTGCCTCTGTGTGTTTTTTATATACAGTAATTGCTATCATTTACCACCGGCAAACCCTCAGAAAGAGATTCCATTACAGTGTTTTAGTATCTAATCGTCTTCTCATGAAATGGGGAGAAAAACGATCAGATTTATGTGAGATGTGGAGCGTTTATGTGAGCACTTGAACTAGTGGGATGGGGAATTGATCAAATATCTGAAATGATTTAGATCGAGATGTAAAATTAAGCAAACTGTGACTTTAATGTTTTTTTTCTTTATTATATTGGTGCATACTATACATGAAAAGGACAAATTATTTGTGCTTATTTTAAGAAAAAACATATTTCAGAAATATAATTTCACTTGATTTTAATTGCATTTTTCTACAGTAGCTTAAAATATCACCTTAAGCTATTGTATCATATTTATCTTTTTAGCCTTGATATATACACACACACACAGGGCCGCATTAAGACCGCACTGGGCCCCGGGGCTATGACTTACTGCAGGGCCCCCCATCACAATAATGATATATATATGGCGTATATATATCCTTATGACCTTAAGAAAAAATGTGCCATTCACTGCGCCTAAAATGTATAATTGCAGAAAAAATATATACGTTGTATTGAACATTAATGGAGCAAAGACGGGCATTTTGACACATAACTATGTGTATTTGACCGTTTAAGCACAAGGAGCGAAAGTTTAGTCAGTAATACGAGCAGGTGTATCAGGTAGAAACCGTTTTAACGCACGCATTTACCAGAATGAATTCTGACCCGCAGCGTAATGTCCATGAACAGTATAAACCATTTGTTTTAAAACCTGCTTAAAACGCCTTGAAATGATAAGCTTAGACGCGCTTCAATCAACGATTGATATATTTCTACCGGATTGGTGGCTTTGGCGATCGGCGCTCCAGTCAATCTACTCCAGAGCCAATCACGGGCCCCCTCCTTGCTCGGGCCCCGGGGCTTCAGCCCCGCCTAGCCCAATGGTTAAAACGGCCCTGCACACACAGTGTGCGTATAGACATTAAATTGCAGCATTGGTTATGGATTATGGTTTTTGCATTTGTTTCATGCATTATTTTGTACCCATGGAAAGAGCCAAAATATTTTTATATATTTTTATATATTTTTTCCCAAATTAGTTTTTTCAGTTTATTTTTCTTTTTCTTCAAATTTTTCATTTTTTCCTCCAATTTCTTCAATGCAGTCAAAACTATATTTAAAAATAAGGCAAATTATTTACTTGCTGTCCATCGTGCTGTAGAAGGGGTTTAGATGATGACACTTCTTGGGTCACAGAAAGATTTTTATTTTATTTATCTTTATTTATTGTAACAGGGAAGATCATGTAGACAGAAAAGATGGGGATTTTGGATGAAAAATGTGGGACATCACTTTTTTGGCTGTTAAAAATGGCACATTTTTATAATATAGGCTATATAATAAAATGAATGTGAGTTATGTCAGATGTGCGATTTTAATTGTTGCATCAGACCTCAGAGTTGGGACTGGCCAAAAGCACTTTTTAAGGTAATGGGACACCAAAGTGTGCCACTATTCAAGTTAATTTTTTTACACTATATTCACTCAGGATGCTGATTGCTTTTAATTCCGCCCTGACAACAGCCTTCTGGAAGGCATCCCATAATAGACACCCATTCCTGATTGAAAATCGGTTGCTGTAAAGCACTGGCTCCATTATGACACGCACACACAGCAACGCCAAAGACTGTCTTTATTTGTTACGGGTGCTGACAGAGTTTGGCAAGGCCAGCGTTTGGCACGTCTCAAGCTGCCTGACCAGTCTGCCAAGTGGCACTACTGTGGGCATTTGGCAGGACAAGTGACTGGTGAAATCCTCCAAGGATGGAGAAGGTGGGATGGACATTTTACTGGATCTCCACAGCACATTTATGCTGTCAAACATGCTTAAAGGTAAGTCATCAGATTCAAAAGTGACAGAAATTTAACACAATGGTTTTCTAAACAGGTTCATCGAAAGTCAGAAAACAATTTCCAAACAAGCAAATGTTTTACAAATCAGCCCTACTCTAAATGCATAATGAGTTTTCAAAGCCATTGGAAAATGGCCATATGGCTGCAGACAATACCCCAATTTTCTGTAAAACGTATAAAAAACAGCATTTATTGTAATATAATTTATAATGTAATTTTTTCCTGTGAATTTGTCTTCAGTCTTCACTGTCACATGATTCTTCAGAAATCATTCTAATTATGTTCATTTGCTACATTGATAAATTTTTTCAGGATTCTTTGATGAATAGAAAGTTCAAAATAACAGCATTTGTTTGAAATCTTTTGTAACATTATATAGTCTTTGCTTTGATTAATTTATTGTGGGCCGGCTAAATACAATTAATAATTTCTTTAAATCTTTGACTTGAGATGACCTTGAGTAAATAATTTTTTTATTATCCCTTTAGAATCTTGAATATAAATGAGCAAAACATACAAACAAAAAGAACAACGCTTCAAAAAAAAAAGAAAAGAAAAGAAAAGAACATTGTTATATATTTTTATGTGAAAAATACACAGTATAATACAATAGTACCCACTGGGGATAATATGTTAATTTTTGTTTTCACAGTTAAATGTCACGTCCCCTCAATTACTCCAGACAATTGAACAAGGAAAAAATAAAACGCATGAATTACATTTTGGCCTCAATGAAATCAAATCCACTTTCAAGTTTTCTGCTTTTTTTTTTTTTTCATGTTTCTCACCTTCATTATATTCCACATTTACACTGTGATCCTTACGCATCGTTTCTACAGGTTTGACAATTTACGGCAGATACTCACTAAATGACACTTGATATCAAGCGTTAATGACTTTAGATATACAGATTTACAGTATAACTACAAACATGAGCTGTTCTGAAGCAATGGTGTTCAACTTCTAGGAGTAAGAAAATAATTTTTATACTTATAAATAAGGAACTATACATCGCGTTATCTTTTTCAAGAAAAGACGTTTCTGAACGTGTAAACAAACAATGCAGGCGCTTTCACATACAGTAAACAAAGCAATGGTACTTTCGTTTGTACAACCAGAATAATGTGCAAAGAAAATTTAACGATCACGGACATTCTGCTGTGCATCCAACTAGGGCTGCACGATAAATCGAAATGGAATTGAGATCGCGATTCGACAGAAGCTGCGATTGTCATGCGTATCTTTCAGTGAAGCACGGTTCTGTGATCAGTAGTAAATCTCCAAAGGCCAGAGGGCGCTCTCGCGCTTTTCAGAATCGCGCAATAAAATCGTCTGCGATTTTTTTGCGTATCTTGTCAGTGAACTACGGCTATGTGTAGTAAATGCTGCTCCATCTGAAAGCACGTGATGATGATTTCCTGCTGATTACAGAACCGGCTTTTTTAACAAAATGTGCATGACAATCGCATTCGATTAATCGTGCAGCCCTACATCCAACCAAAAGAAACTCCAGCATGTTGAACCTTCACTAGTTTTAGACAGACTGGCACAGTTATATTAACACGAATAGCACATTCCCCAACCGATTCTCAAACAATGGGCTCGGCGTGTTTCGAAATCCTTGAACTGCCCCAAAAGGATGTTAGTGTTTCTAAGAAGGGACTACAGT